GTTCAAAACTGCCCCACAAAATCGCAATTTTGATCTTTGGTCATCATCATACACTAGGATTGCTTCTCTTGTGTAGCTGTGATACATGAGCCCCCGCAGTACTGATATCGTTGGAAAGCTGAGAATCAGGGCTTTCTGTTGATATGAATATACCTGCATTTCAGTGGAATTTTTATGTATCAATGGCTGGCCGGAAAATTTCGCTTTTGGAGCTCCTCCTAAAGGACTGTATGATGTCTTTTAGTACTTTGTATGTCCGCCCCTGGCCTTTCTGACTGCCTCCAAGCGCCTGGGCATTGAGCTAATGAGAGTTTGGACTGTTTCCTGTGGAATCTGCTCCCAGATTCGAGCAATCGCTGTCTTGAGCTCTTCCCTAGTCTTGATGGTATATCTCTGGTATGAGAGACGCTTTTTCAGCTCTGTCCACACATGTTCAATAGGATTGAGGTCCGGTGACAGCGCAGGCCAGGGCAGGACATTCCACTGAACCTCTCTGAGGTATTCCTGCGTCTCTCGAGAGCTATGACAGCTTGCATTGTCTTGTTGAAAGACCATCACATCGCGACTTGGCAATGCTTGCTTTTGCTTCCACTTCAGGATGCTACCAGGCAGCGCCTCTTCAAGTAAGCTGACGTAGGACTCTGAGTTAAGCTTCCCATTGACAACCACCATCAGACCAAGGCCTGCCCAGGTCATACAGCCCCAGATCATGACGGAATGGCCGCCACCCTGCATGTTGGGCATATACATGTTGAGATTGGGTTGCCTGGACCAGTAGCGCCGGTTGAAGCCCTTTCCCAGCTGTTGAACCTTGCATTCATCACTCCAGATGATGTTCTTCCACTGTTCAACAGTCCAGTACTGGTACCGCCTGGCAAAGGCAAGCCTGCGCTGTTTATGCCTCTTGGTGAGCAAAGGTTTTTTTCGTTTTACCCTCAGCTTGAGTTTGGCGCGCTTCAGAACCCGTGTGATGGTGTACCTGGACAATCGAACCTGATAGTGTTGTAGCCAGTATGCTGAAGCTTCGGTAGCTGAAGTATAAAGGCGCTGGCCAATGCCTCTGATGAGCAATGAGCGCTGGCGTGAGGTGAGGAGGGGGGTTCTTCCTCCTTTGCTCTTTGGAATATGCTCTCCTCTCATGCTTTTAGCGAACCTAGCAGCTGCTGATTTGCTCATAGACATGATACTAGCTATCTGTCTGGTTGATTTGCCCGCTTGGAGCAGCTCTTTGAGCCTAGAAAGGTGTGCTGTGGTGTATATAGTCCGGGCCATCGCGTTTTTTAAGTATCAAGACTGGGATGCTCATAACTTCCATACTAGACATGCTCATGGCGTCGATCAACCTGGTGTCAGCTCTTCTTATACTGTTCTTGCAGTCTATCAAGTTTGAGATGTGGTTGATGCGCAGAACCCAATGCCATATGGCGTCAAAGCTAGATGATAAATAAAGTTGATGAGGAGAAAAAGGTCGCCAACTTTAAATGCTCTCTCACTGCGCACAGCAACCTTAACACACTTCATACTTTATATGTACAGAAAGCCAAGAAGCGCAGCTTTCCAACGGTACCACTCAGTTAGGCAAACGGAGGGACAAAGGGGTGACCCTGCCATGATGAACAAAGGGACATGGTACAGCATGGTGAAATTGCGATTTTGTGGGGCAGTTTTGA